GCCTTGCCTTGTAGCGTTCAATTGAGCCATCAGCATGTCTCTTGACTTTAAAGACCCACTTGGAATCAATGACGTTGACGCCAGATAATGGAGGAACAAGACGCCAAGTGTTATTCTTTTGAAGAGCCTGAAACTCTTGTTCCATTGCATCACGCCAGTGAGGAATACTCAGTGCAGCCTAAAAGTGGTGAGGCTCTACAGTGGGATCGGCAGCAGTGTGAGCCATGCACGCAGCAAGCAATACAACCATCCCGTCCGTACGCTCCTTCGAACAAAAGACACTGGATTGGCTCCGTGTTCGAGGCCGAAGAGTGACATCAGACTGTACTGGCAAAATCGATGCAACAGATGATGTTGACGAGGCCGGCACAAAACCAGGCGAGTCGAGCTCAAGGGGAACCGAGTCAGAGCTGGTCGGCGACCCGAGCGCCAGAACAGGACTGGCCGGAGCAGCTGACTGCACCTCCGGGCCAGTGGAGGCAGCAGCCGGCCCAGGTGAGAGGCCTGTCAGTGTGGGCGAGGCCGGCACCGGGCCGGGCAAGTCCAGCTGGGAGCCGCGCGAGCCAGGCGAGGCTGGCGCAAGCGAGGCTGGCGCTGACAAGGCCAGCATCAGGCCGGGCGGGACCAGCGTGGAGCCGGGCGGGACCGACGCCCGCGGAGCAGCCTCCATAGGTGAAGCGGGGACGGGTTGGCGGGCGCCACCCAACATGCATGGCACATGCACGTCCCGATCAGAAGACTCATCCGTTACCTATTCATCAAGAAGCTCAAGCCGAGCGCCGCGTCCAATACCTGCAGCATGATTATGAAGCAACGCAGGGGCATATGCAACATCCACAAATTGATCAGGCGAAGGTATAGACATAGGTACCGGTGATGTAGAAGTGGTAGAGTTAGTCGGAAGTGCACGAAAAGGGAATACACTTTCATCAAACACAACATCACGAGAGATGTAGACGCGGTTGGTAGGAACATGTAAGCACTTGTACCCTTTGTGAAGAGAACTATACCCGAGAAAAACACACTTCTTAGACTGAAACTCTAGCTTACGCTTGTTATATGGACGTAGATGAGGCCAACATGCGCACCCGAACACTTTGAAGAATGTGTAGTCTGGAATTTCAGTGAGAAAGAGTTCAAGCGGGGTTTGCATTTTCAGAAGTCTTGAGGGAAGCCTATTTATGAGAAAACATGCTGTGGAGAAAGCATCACTCCAGAACCGAAACGGGACGGATGCATGAGCTAGCAAGGTTAGGCCAGTTTCAACAAGATGACGATGCTTACACTCGACAGTTCCATTATGCTGATGTGTATGAGGACATGACACGCGATGCGAAATCCCAAGTTTATTAAAAAACGAGTTGAGGTTGTGGTATTCACCCCCCCCCCCCAGTCGGATTGAACATGGATGATTTTCTGCTTAAGAAGACGCTCAACATGTGCTTGAAACTGAATAAATACATCGAACACATCAGACTTAGGCTTAATAAGATATAGCCAAGTAAACCGACTATAAGCATCAATAAAACTGACATAATAATTGTGCCCACTAATAGACGTCTGGGCATGACCCCATACATCGGAAAACACAAGCTCAAGAGGGGATGTCTCACAACACGACTAGACTCTGAAAAAGGAAGTTGATGACTTTTGCCCTGCTGACAGGCATCACAGACAGTTTCAGCAGTTTTATTGGACACAACTGGTAGTTCATGACGATGCAATACATGTCCAACTATGGGAGCCGGCGGATGATCAAGGCGCGCATGCCAGTGCGTAGGCGACACACGAACACCACTGAACGCCTGGGGAGAAGACGGCATGGAAGATGAGCGCGGTGCATCAAGTGCATACAGACCATGGCGAAGACGACCGCTAAGCAGAATGACCCTCGTGTCCTGATCCTTGATAAAGAAACGAAAAGGGTGAAACTCAGCAAGGACATTATTATCACGAGTAAGTTGAGAAATGGACAACAAACTACGTGTAGCAGAGGGAACTCGAAGAACATTGAAAATATGCAACGTGCGAAAATTGTGTGCAAGGAGAGAGGCCTGACCAATATGGGAGATGCGCATACCTGCTCCACTGGCGGTGTGCACCTAATCATGACCACGATATGGCTCCTGAGTAGAGAGCTTGCCCATCTCCCCGGTGAGGTGGTTGGTAGCTCCAATGTCCATGTACCACGTAGGATCGATGGGATAAGACGGAGTGCGGCCATGATCATGACTCGTCACCGCGGCGGCAGCCTGCTTGTCGTTCCCCTTGCCATTGTTACCGAGGCCCAAAAAGTCTTGCTTGTAGCGACGATGACAGTGAGAGGCAATGTGACGCTCAAGGCCACACAGTTGGCAGGCCTGCGGCGCACCACAAGAAGAACAGCACGCAACCGGCCGGTTGCCACCCGTGATGGTCGGAGCATTGCCCCGCGAGGCCGGTTGTGAGGACGGCGCCGGTTTGCCACCTGAAGATGATGACCGCGGGGGTTTACCACGAGTCGCAGCATTGGCGGAGGCGAAACCGGGAGAGGTGCGGCACGCCTTAATGCGTTGTTCACGACCAAGGAGTCGTGCATAGAGCTCACGAGGTGGGAGCGGATCATCACGACCATGGGCATTCTCAATGAGATTGTCATAATCATCATCAAGCCCGTTAAGCACGAAGGTGGTAAACTCCTCATCCTGCAGCGACTGACCAACTAAGGCCAACGTGTCGGTGAGACCCCGCATCTTGTTGAAGTAGTCCGTGATGCTGAGGTCATCAAGCTTAGTCTCACCTAGCTCGGTGCGTATAGAGTGAGCACGCGCCTGAGACTGAGAGGCGAAGCTGGTGTGAAGTGCCGCCCACGCCTCCCGGGACGTAGCGGCGAAGATGACCAGCGACGAGACGCTCGGAGTGAGCGAGGACTGGATAGCGGAGAGGGTGGCCTGATCCTGGGCCACCCATGTGTGATACGCCGGGTGATGAGGGGGCAGACACGGGGTGGATCCATCAACGTAGCCCTTCAGATAGCGACTCCACAGAAGAGGCAGCACCTGGGCAAGCCAGCACAAGTAGTTGTCTGGTGCGAGCTTCATCGGCAGCAGATGCGAGAAGTAAAACGGTGACGACGTCGGGGCCGGATCAGCGTGAGCGTGCGGCGATGCATAAAGACCCATCGACGGGGCCACCCCGAGATGCGCAGCAGGCATCGAGTAGGGCGGGTAGGATCCAGGAGAACCAACCGCTAGGGCGCCGTAGGATGCCGCGATCGGAGCCACATGCGGCGAGGCAGCCGCAGCCCCTTGCGGCTGCTGAGATGGCGCCGAGTAGTGTTGGAGCTGCACCTAGTGGTCCGGCGGGGGCGCCGAGTAGAGTTGGGGTGGCGCCGGGTAGTGTTGGAGCGGCGCCGGGTAGGAGTTCGCCGAGGACGCCAAGTAGGATGGCGGCAGCGGTGCACCGTAATAGTGATGAGGCGGCGGCTGCTGTTGGGTCGGCGCCACGTAGTGATGGGGCGGCGCCAGCCAGGACGAAGACAACGGTGCCTGCAGAAGGATCAGCGCCAGGGGACACCACATCACTTGGAGCTGCAGCGCGATAACCCGATCCGATCGGGGAATGGGGCGCTAGAGGAGCGCCGTAGGCCATCGCAAGAGGCTGCGAGGCGAGAAAGGGCGACGAGGGAGCAAGGGCCGGCACCGCGGCGACGGGAGCGACAGGGGTCGGCGCGACGGCGGCAGCGGAAGACATCGTAACCTAATTTGATACCATGTAAAACATATGATTTGGGAACTGCTCGACACTCTAAATCGGGGTGTGGCTATCTCATTATATAGAGATACCCAAGGGGTACGTATATACAGTCTAACACAAATAATATTCGTTTTGAATACGCTTTGATGAGGGTTTAAAAATTCGGTAAGTTTCAATTGTTGAAATTTGATGCAAGTGAACAATAAATACTTATAACTCGGTTTGAGCGAGCGAAGAAAACCTAAGTTTCAAAACCTAAAACTTCAAACTTTGTGTGCCCCGTGTGAAATCCAACGAGTTTGCGAAACGCGAGGCAATCAGCCGGCGGGCACGATTGGGCTGATGGGTGTCCCTACGAGTTTCCGTGGAGCCGGTCATGCCATAGTGCTATATTGTGAGGGCAGCACCCTACTCGTGTACACATAGAAAAATAATAGATTAGGGTTCAGTGTCATTCAAAGTCTATACTTTCGAACACGAAACGCTACTTATATCTACTGATAAATAAAGATCTCTTTAGCGACTCGTTTTGTTGTGCTTAACCCATGCATACTCTTGATGTGGAGACTAGAAAATGAATTCCACGACCAAACAGCTACGCATATACGTGCTTAAACAGCCCAAAGCGGCAAAAGCCCAACGTGATTATACTTTCTTTTCCAGGGACCAACGTGCTTATACTTTGCAGAACTAAAGCTTCTGTAAAGAATTCAGTATTTGGGGGGTAAAGCATTGCCATCTTTGCATGGTCTTACGTGTAAATCCAACAAGCGCTCGTGATTAACAACTCAAAATCTCATAATTAATTATATGGCTAATTAGCACACGACTGCACGTGATGCCCCCTCCCTCTGCGCCACCGTCAACAGGCAGGCAACGTACGTGAACGACGTAGCACGATAGATTTATTATTACTGCTTCTATTGTGGGTCGTGTCACTGAATGGATTCCTCTTGCGGTCAGCGCCGATTGCGCTGGATTCCCCGTGGTAGTTTGTTTGGGTAAGATCAGATCACACGTACAGTACTTATCCGATTCTGGGGTCCTTTCCTGGGGCGCGGATCTGTTTCCTCTGCGGAACAAACGTAGTGTCAGAGGATATGGAAACGAACTACAACAACAAACTTCTTGGACTTGGACTGCACCCAGTACTACTGCTCACGCTCATATGCGGAGATCTGGTACGTACTAGGTAGGTACGTGCCGTCACAACGACACACGCTAGAGACTCCACACGCGTCGACTTTGATCCCACGGACGTACCGATGGTTGACTCCGGCGTGGCGATAGCTCTCGGCGTGGTCGGGTTCCTCGTGGTGGTGCTCGCGATCGCCTGGGCAGTGCGCTGCGCCGTCGCCCGGCGCCACGCCGAGGAGGCGAAGGAGGCCGTCGGCGTCGGCGCGGGGCTGCTGGACAAGGAGGCCGTCGGCGTCGGCGCGGGGCTGCTGGACAAGGAGGCCGTCGGCGTCGGCGCGGGGCTGCTGGACAAGGAGGCCGTCGTCGTCGACGTCGAGACCAAGCGCGAGGAGCCGCTCTGCGCGATATGCAAGGGGCCGCTGGCGGTGGGCGGGGGCAGGTGCCGGCGGCTGCGCGCGTGCGGCCACGTCTACCACGCCGAGTGCGTCGACCTGTGGCTCCAGCGGAAGCCGATCTGCCCGCTGTGCCGGGCCAGCGTCGTGCTGTCGCGGACGGACATCGTCGACGCGATCGTGTGAGCCGTCTGTGCAGGTCATCGATGCGGCGCGGCGCGGTGCACGGGTACGTGCGTGCGGTTTGCGCCGCCGTCCCTCTGCAGTCCGCACACGCGGCCGTGTCCTCATCCTCGTGCGTCCGTGCGTGCGTGCGTTGGGGAATTTTGCTCCTGACATAGGAAGACATACTCGTAGTTTTGTGTATTCGGAGGGAGGAAGATACTGTATTTGTTTCGTTGGTTCGTTGGCTTGTACTCAAGGATACGTGCAAGCTCTTTTTGACAACGATTTCTTTAGTGGTTTTTGACAAGCATTATCTTACGGAAACACTAAAAATCTGACATCAGATTTTTAGACATGACAAATCGAATTTTTCATGACAATTTATATTGGTGTGATGATGACCAATTTAGGCTGCAAGCACGGTAATTTTCTGTCAAAAAATAAATTAAGGCGGATTTGCTATGCTCATCATCTAAACTTGACATCCTCGAAGAACAAATATTTAAATTGCTAGCTAGGTTTTGGGGCACCATGCTACCCTTTATTTTGAAAAAATAAGAAAACATATTTGAAAGTTTCAGAAAAAATCCAAAACAATTATGTGAAAACTTTGATGTGCTCACTACAGATCCATGAAATTTTGTTTAGAAAAAATGTAGTTTGTAATTTGTGCAAAAGGAAAACCCAGCCCAAAAAGAAAAAAAGGTGGTCCATTTTGAAAATACATATTTGTCTTTTCTTTGAACACCATGTGTGAAAGTAAAATGTTGTGAAATTTTGCACATACATAGTATACATGTGCGTGCATGTTTTTTACAAACAAAAAAAATTCATTTTTTTTACTGTAGAAAATGGTTTCTTTGAAACGGCCACCATGGTGCTTGTGCACAACTAGCAATTTTTGCAAATAGGTGTGCTATTTGGCATAGCTCGCTAGTAGTTATAGCTAAAGCTATTATTTTGTACTCCCTCCGTCCGGAAATACTTGTCATCAAAATAAATAAAAGACGTATTTTAGTTCTAGATACACCCCTTTTTATTCATTTTGATGACAAGTATTTTCGAACGGAGGGAGTAAGTGTGTATGGGGCAATAATAGCTTGTAATCATTTGGACCTACAAATTTAATCCAAACGGACAGTTACTAAATGAAATTACATGAAAAATCCAAACTTTCACGGGAAGTTGTTTTATCTTGAACTTTTGGTGGGATGGCAACTGCTTGAACGCGAGTCCCACTATCACTCACGATGTCGCAACCAAGAAGCAAAATAAACCATATATCTACTCCCTCCGTTCCTAAATATAAGTTTTTAAAGAGATTCCACTATAAATCATGTATGAAGTAAAATAAATGAATCTACACTTTAAAATGTATTTATATACATCTGTATGTGGTTCATAGTAGAATCTCTACAAAGACTTACATTTAGGAACGGAGGAAGTATAAGTTAAATAGTTAGATGATGGATTCAGTTTAGTCCTTGCTTGGTCAATGTATTTTATTTATCCGGAAATGTTAACGCCCACACGTGTGGGCGTTTGCATCTCGTCCACACGCGTGGATCCACGTCCGTTCGTAAGCGCACAATCTTGGCATGTTTCTAGTGCCACGTAGGACTGGTCTGGTGTGTGGGCATTCATCCGGTCGCCCACACGGTCGTTTCACCACACGGGAGGGCTGGTGTGTGGGCGTTCAGCAGTCCGCCCACACGCCACTTTTCACGCACGCACAAGGGCTAGTGTGTGGGCATTTGTCATCTCGCCCACACGTCCGTCTCCTCTCCCACACCCAAGCTGCTAGTTGACATGTATTTTGCAGTGCACATGGCAACTGTTCTAGTGTGCTTTATAAGCAGGTGGCAACTCTCTTTTTACCCGAGTTGCCATGTGTTTTGCAGGGTACACGGCAACTGCCTATTGTGCACGTAAGTAGATGGCAACTCGGTATGTTTTTGCATGGTACATGGCAACTGCCCTAGTATGCACGTAAGCAGATGTCAACTCTTCCTTTTACATGGCAACTGCCCTAGCATGCTTGTGAGCACATGGCAACTCTCTCAACTGCCTAGTGTTAGTATGTGGCGATTTTTAAAGTTTTGAAATCATGCCAACTACAGTAGACCAGACCATACATGGGAATTGCAGTTGAGCAACCATGGCAACTGCAGTTGTCCGACATGGCAACCGTAGTTCAGCGACATGGCAACTGCAATTAAACTAACATGGACGAGGGTCTGCACCATGGCAACTGTGGGCGCGCGGTGACTAACACGCGTGGCATGCGGGGCCACAAGGTACGAGGCCTGACATACCGGGCGTGTGGGCGTTATCTACTTCGCCCACACGCACGCGTGCGAGAGGGATCGGGAGGGAAAAAAAGAGGTGTGTGGGCATTACTTGTTTTGCCCGCACGTTGATGTGTGGGTTGTTCCTCTTATACACCACACAAAATGTGTGGGCAGACTCCCTAACGCCCACACGTGTGGCACTTATCGGCGTCCTATTTATTTTACACACATTTTTACCTTTTTCTTGAAGGATGCTACTGTAAATAGCTTCCGTGATATCTCACGATATCTGACATAGCTATGGCTTGTACCTTGGTACGTCTCCAACGTATTTATAATTTTTGATTGCTACATGCTACTTTATCTACTGTTTTAGGTAATACTAGGCTTTATTATTCACTTTTATATTATTTTTGGGACTAACCTATTAACCAGAGGCCCAGCCCAGATTTGTTGTTTTATGCCTATTTCAGTGTTTCGAGGAAAAGGAATATCAGACAGAGTCAAAACGGAACGAAATCAACTAAAGAAGTTAATTTTGGAAGGAAACCAACCTGATGGGCTTGGAGTGCACGTCAGGGGAGTCCCGGGCTGCCCACAAGGGTGGGGGCGCCCCCTGGGCGCGCCCCCTGCCCCGTGGGACCCCCGTAGCTCCACCGACGTACCCCCTGCACCCATATATACCTACGTACCCAAAAACTTTCAGAACAGAACCTAAATCGGGAGTTCCGTCGCCGAAAGCCTTCAGAGCCACCAAAAACCAATCGGGACCCTGTTCCGACACCCTGCCGGAGGGGGATCCCATCACCGGAGGCCATCTTCATCATCCCGGCGCTATCCATGACGAGGAGGGAGTAATTCACCCTCGGGGCTGAGGGTATGTACTAGTAGCTATGTGTTTGATCTCTCTCTCGTGTTCTCTCTCGTGTTCCCTCTATGGCACGATCTTGATGTATCCCGAGCTTTGCTATTGTAGTTGAATCTTATGATGTTTCTCCCCCTCTACTCTCTTGTGATGAATTGAGTTTCCCCTTTGAAGTTATCTTATCGGATTGAGTCTTTATGAGAACACTTGATGTATGTCTTGCCGTGATTATCTGTGGTGACAATGAGATATCATGTGCCACTTGATGTATGTTTTGGTGATCAACTTGCGGGTTTCGTGACACTTGGGAACCTATGCATAGGGGTTGGCGCACGTTCCTGACTCTCCGGTAGTAGCTTTGGGGCACTCTTTGAAGTACTTTTATGTTGGTTGGATGAATCTGAGATTGTGTGATGCATATCGTATAATCATGCCCACGGATACTTGAGGTGACAATGGAGTATCTAGGTGACATTAGGGTTTTGGTTGATTTGTGTCTTAAGGTGTTATTCTAGTACGAACTCTTTTATTGATCGATCCGAAAGAATAACTTTGTGGTGGTTTTGTACCCGACCATAATCTCTACGTTTGTTCTCCGCTATTAGTGGCTTTGGAGTGACTCTTTGTTGCATGTTGAGGGCTTGTCATATGTTCTATCTATGTTATTATTGTTGAGAGAACTTACACTAGTGAAAGTATGAACCCTAGGCCTTGTTTCCTATCATTGCAATACCGTTTACGCTCACTTTTATTGCTCGCTACCTTGCTATTTCTATTATTTCAGATTACAAAAACCTATATCTACTATCTATTTTGCACTTGTATCTTCATCTCTTCGCCGAACTAGTGCACCTATACAATTTACCATTGTATTGGGTGTGTTGGGGACACAAGAGACTTTTTGTTATTTGGTTGCAGGGTTGTTTGAGAGAGACCATCTTCATCCTACGCCTCCTACGGATTGATAAACCTTAGGTCATCCACTTGAGGGAAATTTGCTACTGTCCTACAAACCTGTGCACTTGAAGGCCCAACAACGTCTACAAGAAGAAGGTTGTGTAGTAGACATCAAGCAGTTTCTGGCGCCGTTGCCGGGGAGGCTAGGTAAAGGGTACTCACACTCTGTCACTAAGCTCTTTTCTGGCGAGGTGAGTGCTTTAAGGTATATCTTTAGATCTTGCAATTGAATCTTTTTGTTTCTTGTTTTAGCACTAGTTTAGTTTATAAAAGAAAACTACCAAAAAAATGGAGTTAAGTTTCTCTCATACGCTTCACCTTTTTAATATCTTTCGTGAGTATGATGGAAAGGAAAATTGTGCTCAAGTGCTAGAAGAAGAAATCTCTAAATTGTTTGGCACTAAATCTTTGAATGATGAACATGATTGCAATGTTGTTAGTACGAATTCTTTGAATATCCATGATGCTAATGATGATTGCACTAGTTATGATGAAAATATCTCTTATGAGCATGTCAACTTTTGTGGAGTGCATGTTTGCATGAACACACCAAATAGAGAAGATATTTATTGCAAGAGGCATAAGTACTTAGAAACCAAATTGTTGCAAGAAGAGCTAGATGAATGTGCTGAAAGATTCAATATTTTTCGCGCTCCTTGTGAACTTTGCAATGAACATGGTCATTTAAAGCTCCAATGCTATTTGTTTCATGATCAAGTCGTGTCCAAATATTGTGATACTTTGATTACCCTTGAGCATCATAAAGAGCTTAGCCTTCTTTTGGGTTATGAAGAAATGAAACGTATAACTGAGGGTATTTCAAAATTTAATCTTGATAAATTTCTTGACTTTGATCTAGAGAAGATTTATATGTATTGTTTGGAGAATTGCATTGAAAATCCTTATAT